CCGCCTCCTTTCCTCGGAGCAAGAGTGAACGGCTCCTCAAACACGCTATATAAAAACAAACATCTTTACATCTTAGCTAAATGCTCCTTTCATCATAGGAAGCTTCTGCCGTCGCGCCGCAGCCACTTCTTTGCCCTTCTTCGATTCAGATTTAGCCTCTTCACCTTTTTTACTGATTTAACTTCTTATCTTTACCACGACGAAAATGTGGAACTTGTGGAAACATGTGTAAAACGTCGAGAGCGTGGTTTTTTTTAGTTTGGTTATTTTCTATAAAGATGGCGGCGGTACATCGGTGGTAGAGTAGTCGACACACATCACAACCCCAGAGAGTTTGGCTCATAGGGTCTATGTCCCCCAGGGGTTACTGCCGGAACGTACCTCTGTACGGTCGGTATACCGGAACGTACCCTGGTCACTATTTGATCGATGGTTAGGGTTAAGGATTAGGCGTTAGGGTTAGGGTTACGGTTCGGCTTCGGCGTTAGGGTTAGGGCAGTAGGCATACGCGACTAAAACCCTGACTCGGTTAGTGAGTAGGCGACGGGTACGTCCGGCATATAATATAAGTACCAGGGTACGTTCCGGCGTACCCTGCGGGGACATTAGAACCTCGTCAGCGAGAGTTTGTTAGTTGCTGTCTCTATGCAGTGCCAGGACATGGGTGACTTCAAAGACGCGCACATAAGAGTAATCAGGAAATGTTCTTCCTCGAGCAATTTTTCGACAGGAGATTGAATTTTCTTGGCCCCAAGGCTGTAGCCGAAGGGCTCGACACACTATGTACACACCTAGTGTACACTCGTTCGTTCGCACGCACCACAGACGCACGCACGCCACGCACGCACGGCACGCACGCACGCACGCACGGTCGCTTGTAGAAAAAGCTTCAAACCCACGCAGCGCGCGCACGCCACAAATGCCCACATCATACACTCACAACTACTAATCCGCATTACACTTGCACCGGCCACGCGCACACATGTGCACGGCTTACCACATACTATGGCCACGGCCACACATGTACGACGCTTAGCGCACATACATGCACGCGCACACATGCTACACGCTTACGCACTATCATACATGCACGCGCACACATGTTACACGCTTACGCACATACATGCACGCGCCACACATGTGCACGCTACGCACACACATGCACGCGCACACACGCGCCGCTTACGGCACACACATGCCACGCGCGCCACAGATGTGCACGCTTACGCACACACATGAACAGGCACGCGCACTTGCGCACGCTTACGCACCCACGTACGCCACATCCACACACGATGCATTATACGCATGCACAGACATACGACGCACACACACAATGCTGCCCAACGCACGAAAACAACCTGAGGAACACATTCATGCCCGACGCACCAACGCAGTACCCATAAACTGAAAACACATGTAAATTCACATCTACAACCCACCCACAAACGCACGAACGACTGACGCAATTGCGCACCGCGCACCGCGCACAGGCCAGTAAGTCCAATGCGCATTGTCTATAAAAAACAGCGCCACCTACCACCACGAGCATATTCCCAAAACCCCAAACCCCAAGCCTCAACCTCACAGCAAGCGCAAAGACCATTACTGACACAACACCCGTTACACCCGCTAATCAGTGACGAGACTTAGTATAATATCAATAGATAATAGAATTAGCATTACACCCGGGCCAACCATCACGGCGTAGTAAATAATGGATTATTGCGTACTGAGGACACGCAGCTGTGCATTTTGCTCCCACTGTCATGTGATTAGATAGCAGCCAGCGTACAACAACGCGAGTGGCGGTTAATCTTCTCATATCTAGAGCGGAAAATAAAGGCCACGGAGCCTGCGCAGCTGCGCCTCGTGCTGACCACATATTGGCAACTCTCGCTGGACGCCGACCTTGACCTCGGCAGAAAATGCGATGACCAGCAGAAATTACCTTTACTTGCCCGATTTTTAAAGCGGGATGACGTGGATATACGCTCTCATAGGGCGTCTGAAGGTATTAATAATAGAAGGTTACCACTTTAAATTGGCCCACCGAGCATTTGCGATAGAACGAGGAGAGGGCGGTAAGAGGGACAGAGGGGCGAGGGAGAGACACAAAGATAGATAGATAATAGCATAGATAGATAGATAGATAGATAGATTATAGATATAATTCTATTATATATATACATAGTATATATAAATACATATATATATATATATAATTTATATTATATAATATATATAATATATATAATATACTATATATATATCTACCTACAGAAATGGGGGAGGAATCTGTCTGTCACTCTGTCCGTCTATCTTCTCGAGACCGCGTAAACCAGGTAACCCCCAACACCATATATTATATTCTGAATCTCAGCAGTGACCGGACGACCATAGTTAACCCAAAAAAAATTGCAAATAAGGCCCAACAAATATCCAAAAAAAGCAAAAACATCAAAAAACGGACCGTATATGTACGTGTAACTATCCTAGGTGTCATGTGACACCGGGTGCCTATAGCTTATTTATTAAATCTACGTTACCATATTTCAATTGTTTGTCAAATGTTCTCTATACATGATTCCTATTGTTTATTATGATCATTATGCTCTCTTCTGTCCATGGCCCCGATAGGTGCAATGCAACAAATAAAATTAATTCAATCCAATGCATAAACTTTTTTGGACGGTGTGCGCCCGCGGACTCATGGAGCGGATAAAGTTTCGTACGATTGTTCGTTTTGCTTTTGCTGGGGGTTCGGGTACAAAGCACTGATGAACGCAGGCTTTGTGAGCTTACAGCCTCGGAGAAAGACTGGACGGTTTCGTTCGCTTTTGGTTGGTTCGGCGTGCAAAGCAAGTGAACGCAGCCTGCCAGGGAGTACGGCTTTGCTCAGTTACAGCGCTCGAGAGGTGTGTATACGCCGTTCAGGTGAACGCAGAATACCGGAGTCAACGATACGTCAATCTTGCGCTCTGTTGGTCGCTGAATGCAACGCATGGAATTGCTTGTTAAACACTGCTATTACAGTATATAAGGTACAAGCGTTACAGTTTAGTAATATTAATAATAATATAACATTATAATCTCAGTCAAACCCCCCCCCCCCTGGGAATGACCGGTAGATTTACGAACGATTTGGAGCAGATTCCCCCATTTTATGTAGGTAGATTTAATGTAGTAATAAGGGGGCAAAGAGAAAAGGGGAGGGAGGGAGGGGAAAGCAATGGGAAAACGGGCAAGGGAAGCGGAGAGGGCATGGAATGTACAGCCGTGATGGCAGAACTAAATTCTAGCTCTTTTCTTCGGGCATCGCCGGGTAGCCCAAGTAGTATATATCTATATAAAGAGAGACGCGAGAGAGAAAGAGAGAGAGACCGAGCCACGCGAAGAGAGAGAGAGAGAAAAGAGAGACGAGAGAGAGAGAGAAAAGAGAGCGTGCGCGCGGGGGAGAGGAGAGGCAGAGAGAGGAGAGAGAGACCAAATTATTGCACTATTCGAGGGTAGAAATCCGCACGACAAAACTACGTGAACGGCATGCAAACTCTCTTTTTGCAATCTAAGAAAACATGCAGTTAAGTTTGCTTCGCGCTATCCAATCTAGCTGCAACCATTCACGTTTCGGCATCATCAAATATCCTAATCAAGTTAAGACAAGTCTATAGTTTATCGTGGCATACTTCGTGGTCTACTCGCCGAAAGTACTATATCTAACAATGCTAGCCGGAAACGTAACCAATATAGACTCTCAGCTGTAAAATCACGACAAACTCTCAACCACAGGCCCAAGCGATCACAATAACTTCAGTGCAATTCACCCGCTTTACGTTGACGAAAACCTTGGCATATATAGTCAGCAATTAACGCAACGCTAAATCTCACGAATGCTCAATTTAAAAAATACGCGCGTTTGCTAGACTGTAAACTGTTAAAAACTGCGTGCTGCAGAAAAACGAGAAACGCCGTTATATTAGTAAAAACAGCAATTCACAGAAATGTTTTAGCGCCCCCCCCCCCCCCCTGCAATTACTTCACGCGCAGGTTGGTAAGCGTTGGACCGCGAGAGAGACCGTGTCAACATTTATAGGTGGGTGATGGTTGCGTGCGCCAAACGGAAAACCTAGATGAACAATCCTATTTTACTCCAGCACTCACACGCGCCAACCACATGTGCGCGCGCACACGCCACACACGCACACACACACGCACCACCGCACACGCACACACACGCACGCACGCGCATTGCACACACGCACACAGCGCGCCCGCGCGCCACACACACACACCCAAACCACCGCACACGCACACGCACACATACGTGACACACACACAAAGACATAAAACCGCACGCATACACACACATTCCAAACACACGGCACGCACGCCACGCACGCCACGCATCGCACGCACGCACGCCCACACACGCACGCACGCGCGCGCGGAGGACACGATCCATCAGATGTAGTTACCATTTATCCCCAACAGAGTGACTGACATGGTAGAAACAAAGCAATCAAACATCTGACATTGTTCCTCAATTTCAAAACTTTCTCATTTAGTGCCCAATCTTGACAAAAAAAACAGACCAAGAAACCCTCAAAATCGTGTCGCCTAATCATTTACTCGTCGAAAAATGTCACCAATGTTCGCCTTTCTCGCATTCTCGCTATCTTACATCCAGCCACGGCTGCAGGGAGAAAACACGCGCCGACTTAAGCTTAAATACAACCGGGGGCACTGACCGCATACACGCCCCGGCCACTATATAGGAACCTTATGACGCGATCGTACAATAATATAAAGCTGTCAGCTTCCGGCAGTCACTTAATTACGCCGTTGCTGACAGCCGGTATTTAGAGGGACATACGCCGCCCCCTTCCCGTTGGAAGCTCTCCACTCTAGAAGCCCCTGTATCTTAAAGCCGCGCAGCAGCGGGAAGATATATGCTAATACGTTGCCCCGCATTGATCATTGAAGCCGCGGCCCGTTACCAGGAGGGACAGTGTCAGAAGACGTGGACACGACGAGAGTGACGACACTCGTCAGGAGACGTGACACTGTCAAGGAGAGGGCGAACACTGGAAGAGTGGACACTGTCAGTCGAGAGTGGACACTGGAGAGTCGACACTGTCAGGAGAGCGGACACTGCCCAGGAAGAATGGCACACTGGCCAGGCGAGCAGCGGACACTGCCAGGCAAATGGACACTGCCAGGAGAGGTGGACACTGCCAGCGAGAGTGGTTCCGACACTGCCAGCGAGAGCGGACACTGCCAGGAGATATGCGACACTGCAGCGAGAGCGGACACTGCCAGGGAGAGTGGACAACTGTCAGCGACAGAGTGGACACTGCCGAGGAGACGCGGACACTTGCCAGGAGAATGGACACTTGCCCAGGAGAATGCACACTCCAGGAGAGCAGACACCTGCCAGGAGAATGGACAGTGCCAGGCGGAGACCGAGAAGGACCACTGCCAGGCGACTGCGGACACTGCCAGGAGGAGCGGGACACGTTGCCAGGAGAATGCGACACTGCCAGGAGAATGGGCACTGCCAGTCGCAGAGTGGACTGACAGTAGCGTTATAGACCGATAGCGGCCCTTTGCGAGGGTAATGGCCAGCCCCTTTGCCGGTGGACTGCGGATATAGCGTTCAACTTGGGGCCGGGCCCCTTTTTCTTTTTTGTACGGCCGAGCCCTAAATGCGAATCACATGCGCATGTAGGACGGAAGGAGTGATTCTGTCATCCCCCTCCCCAGCCCACCGACAGACAGGACGGTCCGTTAAGGTTAGGTGTCTGTCGTTAGATTTTAGCACGTAAGCTGATTCTAACTTCCCCTCTATCACGTCGTGGCGATACGCAGATGGAGGAGGAGCTGCAATTGGGGAAGAGACCGGCGCCAAGAACAAGACATCGGGCGAAATGGCGGGGAGGGAAGCGAAGAAGAGGAAGGGAAGGAAGGCTAAAAGCGGAGAGAGAGCTAGAAACAGAGAGGAGAGAGAGAGGAGGCGCGCGAAAGAAGAGAAAGAGAGAGGCGCACTGGGAGGAGAGGAAGGGACCCGCGCGGCAAGTGGATAGAGAGAACGAGTATCTGTGAGAGAGGGGATAGAAAGAGGGTGAGAGCATCAGAACGCAAACAGAGAGAAGGAGGAAGAAGATGAGCAAGAGAGAGATGGGCAGACAGACAGAAGGACAGACAGACAGACAGACAGACAGCAGACAGACAGACAGACAACAGACTAGCAGCAGGACAGACAGACAGACAGATAGAGGAGAGAGACAGAGAGACGAGGAGAGAAGAGAGGAGAGACGGCAGAGAGAGAGAGGAGAGAGAGCAGAGAGAAAGAACGAACGTCCCCCCGCGGCGGAGAGAGAGACAGGAAGACAAAGAGACAGAGAGCGAGGAGAGAGAAGATTCGAGAGAGAGAGAGACGCGAGAGAGAGAGACAGACAGACAGGAACAGATAGACAGACAGACAGACAAGACAGACAGAGACAGACAAGATCAGACGGCAGAGACTCACGCATCAGAGAGAAACGAGGGGCGGCACAAGAAGACTGTCAGCACGCGTCTCTTGAATGGCATAAGCAGGACGGGAGGAGGAGGGGAGGAGGGAGGCGAGGGGCGAGGATGGGGAGGAGGAGGAGGAGGGGGAGGAGGAGGAGGAGCGGGAGGAGGAGCAGGCAGGAGGAGGAGGGGAGGAGGAGGTAGGAGGGGCGAGAGGAGGGAGGAGGAGGAGGGGGGAAGGAGGCCAGGAGGAGGAGGAGGAGGAGGAGGGGAGGAGGCAGCGAGGAAGCAGCAGCAGTGGGAGACAGCTTCACGATAATCGCATCGCACGAGCACGCACGCGTCCTGTCTCAGCAGTTCCGACGAACCCCTCCTCTGACATCCACAGAGACACGACGGCAGAGAGCAAACTAACGCTTTTACTACAAATCTGCGGCGAAGATAACTCGGGGAATCAACTCTAGAATTTGCAATGCC